GGTGAGGGGGGAGGACGGCTCGGAGCACATGTGGTCGAAGGTACCAAAACGTACAGCGGGCTCACTACACATCAAACGTGCGTACCCGGCCAGAGGTCCTTGCTGAGTCTGTTTACAATTAACAATCAATGCCCTTGGTGCCGCAGTACTTTCTGCAACAGAGATTTGGTGGTGCAACACGTCCACTCGGCATGTGAAGACAAAGGGGTGTGTGTTCGTGAATGTTGGCCCGTGGAGGCACGAAGTGATGCAGTCGAAGTCCATGGCTTGCCCCGTGTGTAATGTTCAGGCCCAAATCTTGGAGGCACAGCAAGTATATATGTGTGCTCATAATCCCGGGCCTGTAAGGGCTCGCTCCACACGTGACGCCGAGGGCCGAGTCGGAGCACAGGGTCGAGAACGAGCACGCGCAGATGGCGTGGAGAGTGACAGGCGCGGCGGCTACGACTTCAGGCGGGGCGCCGCAAGGAGCTGCACGCGCTGGCTTAAGCGGAGGCGCAGGGCAGTCGTCGGAGAAGGGCCAGATGGACAAGGGCGCATCACACAAGTTCCAGAAGGTCAGGGAAGGCACCAGAGCTCCAGGCAGGGACGACGTCGACCTGGTGGACTCGGTGATCCCGCTGCAGAAGATGGGGCTGAGGCAGGACCAGAAGTCGCGCGAGCAAGCCTGGTCCCGAAGAAGACCACCGTGGCGAAGATAGGCCTAGAAGAAGGGCAGGACTACTATGCGGCGGTGTCGAGGATAGGGAGAGGGCATCGTCTTGGGGCCCCTTACCTTCACGTGGCCGCGGCAGCGTTCGACGCGCTCATCGAGGACTGCTCGGCTGGGCCCCACAAGGACATGCTGGTGGCATACCAGAAACTATTCAGCCACGACAGCGGCCCGAAGTTCGTGGAGGAGATCTTCGGCACGTTCAAGCTGGAGGAGGCGTACAGCGAGAACAGGACGGAGGACAAGGACATCCGTGTGAAGGGGAACTTCCACATCAATCCGATGGCGGACGTGGCGATGCTGATCGAGTTCATGAAGGTGAAGGTTAGGGGAACGAACAATGACATAAACAAAACAACTCGGAGGTCCGCGCGGATTTCTCGGATCGGCGCTGGACCCCCCTCCCTGGCGCGCGGAGCGCGCCAGAAGCGGCTCCGGAGGCGCCGCCAGGAGGGCCCCAGCGCGGATCCGAGAAATTCGCGCGGATAAGCCCAACAGGGGCGACGGTTCCACCTGAACCAGGCCTAGCGCTTGAAAAAACAGCCATCTCAGAGGGCGACATCCCGCCCCTTGGCATCCTGAGGAGGGCGATCACGGCGGCCGTCGAGCAGGCGGGCGCGGTCGCGAGAGAGAGAGGGACATCCGAGAAACCCGCGCGGACCTCTGATCTGTTGTGTTTGTGTCATTCTCCGTTCCCCGAAAGGTGGAGGGCGACATCCCGCCCCTCGCCATCCTGAGGAAGGCGATCATGCGACCGTCGAGCAGGCGGGCGCGGTCGCGGGAAGAAGTGGCCAGGACCTCCGAGAAACCCGCGCGGACCTCCGATGTTTTTTTTTTTATGCTTGTGCCCTTATTCGTTCTCCGAGAAGGTGGAGGGCGACATCCCGCCCAGAGGCATCCTGAGGAGGGCGATCACGGCGGAGCATCGTTAAACCGATCCCCATCCCGTGTTTTTGTGTTATATATAAATATACATAGGTGTTTACATATATGTACACATATCATTTTTCGCCTACAACCCGCCTGCAGGGGGGCACGCCCGACCTAAGAGTAGGCTCTCAAGGCCTGCGATGCTGCTGGCAGCCTCGTGCGCCCGACTGCTCCTGCGTTTCGAGGCCCGTGCCGCTGCCGCTCCGCCGCGCCCGCGCAAGCTCGTCCCCTCGGGTCCTGGCCCCCTCTCTCCCGCGACGGCGCCCGCCTGCTCGACGGCCGCCGTGATCGCCCTCCTCAGGATGCCGAGGGTCGGCATCGTTTAACCAACCCCCCATCCCCATCCCCATCCCTTTCGAGACCCCACCAAATTATCCCCCCAGTTGGGGACACGCCCCTCGAAACCCGAAGGGAGCTGCCGATATCCCGATCTGGGGGAGGATCGGCCAGTGGTGCCCCGGTCAGAACATGCGAACAATCCTCCCGTAGAGGGAGATGCCCGACTTAGGGCGACTCCGAGTTTCTGAAGAAGCGTCGGGGAGGGGGGGGGGCGTCACCCCCGCCGACAGCCCCACATCGACCCCCGTCGCGGGCAGCCACCACGCGCCGAAGGCGCTGCGACCCCCGTCGCGGCGCGACCACGAGGCGAGGTTGACCCCCGTCGGAGGGGTACCCCCCACGCGTATTCAGAAACCCAGGGTACGGAGTATGGCTAGAAGTGGCAGTAGTCATGCACCGCGCATGCTGGAGATAGCAGGGCAAGTAAGACCGCAGCCTTCGGGGGGGGACTGCGCCATAAGGCGGGCTGGTATGAAGCCTCTTCGGCTGGACGTCTCCAATGTTCCAGGCCAACGATTGGGGGCGCTCCCATCAAAGCGCGCCGCCAAGAAAGTGTGCACCAGGAATGAAGATGGCCCCCGTGCCCCACCATCGGCATGAGGCGTGAAATCCCCCGTGCCGGCGCGGCACCGCACTAGGGCCGTGGGGCTCTGTGCGGGCACCCGCAGGCCCGCTCCCAAGGCATGGACATGTTGGAGAGCGGGGCCACCCCATGTCTTTCGCAGGGAGCAGCTCTCCTGGGCAGCAAGCGAGGCGATCCGGCCCGCTGAGGCGAGGCAGACGTTGACCCCCAAGCGCGTATCATCACATATCAGATCCTCCTCTTCCTCGTGCGCCTATTCCCTCTCCTCCCTCCTCCCTCCTCCCTCATCCCTCTGTCTCTGCTCCTCCTCGTATTATTATTCTGAGTTAAATTGTTATTGTCCGCGTTAGTAGTATATGCGTTCTGCATATTACCCGTAGTAGTATTAGTTGTCATAGTATGAGATCATGGGTATTGTACTTGGTGTGGGTATTGTTGGTTGTATGCTGCGTATTCATATTACTCTTCTTATTAGCTACGATCATATTGATAATAGTAATACGAGTACTATGCGTATTCTGACTCTTAGTATTAGTATTCATGGTATACCTCCTCCTCCTCCTTCTCCTCCTCATGCTGCTCCTGCTCCTCCGATTCCTCCGCATCCTTCCCCTCTTGGGGCATGGCGCTTTTCTGAGCCCTTTACTCCAACGCATGCTCCTTCACATCCCTGATCAGGGCAATTCGTTTGGGGATTGTTTCTGAATGGTCTGCGCGAAGCGTCTAGAATAGTGCGCACACACATACCGCATGCACGGAAGATCCAACGTTTGGATCTCGGAGGTGCCCCATCGCGCCTAGGCTGGCCCAGATGGGAGGCCCCAGCAGCTGGGTGAATCCTGCACAAAGGGTGGTCCAGGAGGGGTTCCAATCCCTCCCGGGCACATGCGGTCCTCTCTTCAGGGCCCTTCGGCGACGGGACCTTCAAATCGCGGTCTGCACATCGCAGTGCAAGTGGGTGTCGCGCTGGCCGAAAGATCGCCGAAGCGGGGGGGGAGAGGAGGGGGGGGAGCCGCGCTGCACCGGGCCTGGCCAGCGACCAGAGAGGGTGGATCCCAGAGGGGGAGGCAAGGCGAGGGTAGGGAGGGAGAGGAGAACATCGACGTTGAGAAAGAGCAGACAACTTCCCTAGATGCAGTAGAGCAGACGAGAGAAGAGAGAGATGGAGGAGGACGGCGCGGAGGGGGGGGAGAGTGGAGGTAGGAGGGAGGGGCGGGGAGGAGGAAAAGAAGGAGCACGGGGAGGAGGAGCAGCAGCAGGACGAGGAGATAGAGGGCGGAACAAGATAAGGAGCCGCAGCAGCAGGAGCAGTTCGAGAGAGGGGGAGACAGAGGGGAAAGGAGTAGGAGGAGGATACAAGAGGAGCAGCAGCGAACTGAAGGAGCAATAGGAGAGGGAGAAGCAGCAGCAGCAGCAGCAGCAAGAGCAGCACCAAGAGCAGCAGCAGAGGGAGCAGCCGAAAAAGCCTGGACGCAAAGCGTCCTGCTTCGTCACGACACGGCCCAAACACGTCTCGACTCCATCCCCGGGGGTCCCCGGGCAATTCTCTGAAGGCGACGAGGCGGCCTCCGTGAGTTCCGCGACGCTGAAAAATGTCTTTGGGCACAGAATGGCCCGCACAAGGCTTATCGTGACATCCGTGCTGCTCTTTTGAAGGCTCGCGTCGGCCTTCGGCTGCTCGGAGGGAGTTCCGACCCGGGAGGAGTCGCCGAATATATGTGTTGAAGAATCAGCCCAAAACATAAGTGGATATCCCCGAACCCGTCCTGGAGCGCGTCCTGGCCATGTTCCCCAGGATTATGCCGCAGCGATGCGCCTCCTCCTCCTCCTCCTCCTCCTCATCCTCATCCTCATCCTCTCTCCTCCTCCTCCTTCCTCTTTCTCCTCTTCCTCTTTCTCCTATGTGTTCCTTCCCTCCTCTTCTTGCGTCAACCATCCCTGGTCTTCGTCCCTCATCATCCTCATCCACTTCCTACAATGTTCCTGCCTCTCCTCCTCGCCTTTGTCATCTTCCTCCACGCCCTCCTCCTCCTCCTCCTACACCTCCAGGCCATCGTCTTCCTGATCCCCGTCTCCATCAACATCCTCCTCATCACTCTGATCCTGCCCCCTCTTCAATTCTACTCCCTCGAACCTCAGCCATTCCGCCTCCGCCTCCTCCTCCGACTCCTCCTGGCGCGAGCGCGCGCGCGGGAGGAGAGGAGGAGGAGGGCGGCGACGACGACGACGACGGCGAAGACGAAGACGAGGGGGGGAGGAAAGACGAGCGAGGGAGGCGGAGGAGAGCGGAGGGAGCGAGAAGCGGGAAGGGGGGAGAGAGAGCAGGAGAAGGAGGACGACGAGGAGGGAGGCGGAAGTCGCAGCGAGAGGCAACGCGGATGAGAAGGAAGGCTGAGGAGAGAGGGGTCGTCGTCGTCGTCGTCGCGGTTGTCGCCGTCACCCCTCGAGCAGCAGCGTGTAGCCGAGCCCCGCCCGCGCCTTCAGCGTCAGGATGCTCTGCCCGAGCTCGCGAAGGTCGGCCTGCGCCGTCTCAATGGCCTGCGCCTTCTTGCTCGAGGCGTCCTCCCCAAAGCAACGGCGGCGCCGCCGCCCCCGCAGGAGCCGCTCGAAACCGACGACGACGACGCCGACGACGACGCCGACGACGACGGCGACGGCGACGACGGACGACGACGACGACGACGACGACGACGACGACGACGACGACGACGACGACGACGACGCCGACGCCGACGACGACGAAGACGACGACGACGGACGACGGCGACGACGACGCCAACGCCGACGACGATGACGACGACGACGGCGACGACGACAACGACCACGGCGGCGAACGACGACGCCGATGGCCGACGGACGACGGCGACGGTGGCGGCACCGTCGCCCTCTCGTCCGATGCGTCCGCCGAGGGGCCCGCGCCGCGACCCGGCTGGCCGCCGCCGCCGCCGCCCTTTCTCCTCCTCCTCCTCCTCCTCCAACTCCTCCTCCTCCTCCTCCTCCTCCTTCTCTCCTCCCCTCCTCCTCCTCCTCCTCCTCCTCCTCCTCCAACACCTCCTCCAATTCCTCCTCCTCCTCCTCTCCTCCTCCTCCTCCTCCTCCCTCCTCATCCTCCTCCTCCTCCCCCGCCCCCGTCCTCCTCCTCCTCCTCCTCCTCCTCCTCCTCCTCCTCCTCCTCCTCCTCCTCACGTAGCCACTATTTTCTGGCGCAAGCCCCGAGCGGGTGGGCTGGGGACGCGCACTGATGCGGGGAGCCGCTGGAATGGCTGCAGTGGCGAGACCTGGCCAGAGCCAGACCAGCCGACAGCGCATGTGACTCGAGAGAAGCCCCCCCCCGCCTGCAAGCACAGCACCGAGCCAGGAGCGGATGGCACTTCTTGCCTCCCGCTGCTCCCGCCGTCGCCGTACCTCAGACGAGGCCTCAGCAGGGCCGCCGCGGGCTGCAAGCTGCAGCCCGTGTGCCGAGTCCGACACCCGCACCGCCTGCCAGCACGCAGAGCGCAGTCGAGCGAGCGGCGCTCGAGCCGGGCCCTGGGCTCGAGCGATGCCCCTTTGCGGGTCATCAAGTCTTGGCTGGATTCCCGGGTTGCCGAAGTCTGCGTCGATGGGCTGTTCGCTGAGGACCTGGAGATTCAGAACCGAGTATATCAAGGGACCGTGCTTGGACCTCCGCTCTGGAACATATACTATTCGGACGCTCGCGCAGCAATCAATGCCACGGGTTTCGTTGAGACGGTTTTCGCCGATGACCTCAATTGCTGGCGCAATTACCCCAGTGTGCGGTAATTCAGCCATCCACCGCGAATCTGCCGCATGCCAGGCAGCTCTCCACAGGTGGGGAGCTGCCAACCAGGCCCGCTTCGAACCAGACAAGGAAAGCTTCCATATGTTGGACACTATTTCGTCAGACGGCGAAGCGTTCAAGATGCTCGGTGTGAAGGTCGATACCAGACTGACCATGTACAAGGCGGTGTCCCACTTCGTCGCGGAAGGCTCCTGGAGGCTCCAAGCGCTACTTCGCACAAAGCGGATTTATTCCACTGCTGAATTGGTTCGCTTGTACAAGTGCCACGTGCTGTCGTACCTGGAGGGCGCCACCTCGGCAATCTACCACGCCTCTGAAGCCACTCTTCGCCATCTTGACGAACTACAGGACACCTTTCTTGAAGGCGTGGGGCTGACTCCGAATAAAGCACTACTTGAACACAACGTGGGCCCACTGGGGATGCGGCGTGACATTGATATGCTTGGTCTTCTTTACAAGGTTGCTCATGGGACAGCGCCGCTACTGTTGACTTATCTGTTTGAACCGTGCAGAGGCCCACTCGCAAGATACGGGTTTTCATTGGATTCACGACTGCACACCAAGGCGCTGCACGAACCTCTCCAACCCGGTCATCCTCGAATGCTTCATCGGTCAACCGATGGTTTGATTCCAACATTTCACCGGTTGCCTGACGTGGTGGTGCGCGCCAGATCTGTCAAAGGCTTCCAACGTGCGCTGCAGCGTCTTGCAAAAGATAGCGCCGCGTCTGGTAGCCATGAATGCCTTCGGATTTTCCGCCCTGGCTGACGCCGCGAGAAAATTCATGCTTCGTGTGTTGTTTGATTGATTGAGGGCTTGTCATAGAAAGAGGGCAGATGCAGGGGACACGGGAGGACCGAGAGGGGATGAGGGGATGATGGACGGCCACGGCCATCGGGCATTCCTCCTCCTTCTCCGCCTCCTCCTGCTCCTCCTCCTCCCACTCCTCCGCAAACTCCTCTTCCTCCTCATCATCCTCTTCCGCCTCCTCCTCCTCCTCCTCCTCCTCCTCCTCGTCGGGTCCTTGCACCAACACGCGTACTTGTCGTACATCTTCTGCTCGGACTGCCGGGCGAGGGGACGGGCGAGCGGGGGCACACGACCGCGGGAGGGACGCCTGACTAGGAAAACCACTGTGGCACACTTGCACGAGAAAACGGTTGAGCCACAAGAGCGTCCCTCGAAGGCGACAATGGGGGCGAATATGCCAGGAGGGAACCATACATGTATCAAAAGGCGCCGATGATCCACGTGATCGGCGAGGCTCCCGGGCGAATACGTGTAATGCCCACCCTCTCGGGAGGGGTCCCCGAGAAACATAACATCCCCGGCAGGAAGGCTTCATCCCCGGCAGAGGGTTGTAATCCCCAAAGCCGTTTCCAGTGTCAGCCGAAGCATCCCAACACGTCCCCGCGCAGATGGGAAAGTATTGCTGTGGTTCGCTTCGTGGGCCTCCCGAAGAGCCGGTTGGGAGTGAGAGTGGGCGGGCCGGGGCGGGCCTTCTCAGGAGGCGACGGGGCTTCTCCGAATGCCTCTGGCCTTCTGAGAAGCCCTCTGCGGCTTCGGAGGAGGCTCCGAAAGTTTCTCAAAGGCCAGAGGCCTTCTGGGCCTTCTGAGAAGGCCTGCCCCCTCTGCCTTTCCACCTTGGGGGGGGCCTCCGATCCCGCGCTTCGCGCCGTGCGAAGAGCGAGGCGCACTGATCTGGTCGTCGCCGTCGCCATCGTCGTCGTCGACGTCATCGCTTTAGAGGTTCCTGGGCGTTCCTAAAGGGTGTCGTTGCCACGCCCAGACGCGGCTCGGAAAACTGTGCAGGAGGAACCCCTGGAGAGGTCCACGAAGATTTTGAGCGGATTTGGGTCCGGGAGGGGTTCTGGGGCGATTTTGAGGGGTCATTTGGAGACGCGCCAAAAAAAAGATGTCTTGACGGCCGGCCGAAAGACTTTTACTGGCCGGGTGCTTTCGTAGAAGGCCGCCCCCCCTCGCCGCCACCCAGTCGACGACGAGACGACGCCGACGTCGCCGACGAGATGACTTACGTATCCAGTGGGTGACGACGACGACGGCGGCGGCGGCTTTCTTGGGCGTCATCCCCCCCCCATGCGCGCGCCGCCGATGGACACCGGAGCCCGTCGGCACTCGCGCGCGCCCATGCAGGTGGGGGCAGGAGCGAGGGACCCCGGAGCGGGAGGGGCAGCCGGGCCCACGGCGCGGCTCGCTGGGGGAGGGCATCCGGGGAAGGTGACAGTCAGAAGGAGAAGGCCTCCGCAGGAGGTGACGACGACGACGGCGGCGGCGGCTGGTGTCCGCCTTCTCGTCGAGCGTAAGCTGCTCGTGCAACTCCTGGGCGCCGCGGACGGCGCGCGCGGGAGCGGGCACGGCGACTTGGCGGCCGCCAGCGCAGCTCGGGAAGCGTCGCTCGCGGAGGCACGTCGGTGGTCGTCGGCCTCATGGTCGGCGGGGAGGAATGGGCGCGGTGAAGAAGATACAGCCAGCCCGTATAACAAGGACGCACGATCAAGGATGCAAGGGCCTTGCAAGGCCATGTCGACACTTTGCGAGCGGGGCGCGGCCTGAAGGAGTGGGCGAGGATGGGTACCCTTGGAAAAGTCGCTCATCCTTACTATGCGGGTCAACTGTAAGAGTGGTGACGTGGATCAGACGGAGGAGGAGGAGGAGGAGGAGGAGGAGGAGGAGGAAGAGCAGGAGAACTACGAGCGAGCATGGGTGGTGTGAGGCAGAGGCGCCCTGGCTGCAGAGATGGATGTGTGGAAGCGTGGGGGGCGTGAAATGCCCCACGTGTGGCCCTGGATGCTCTGGACGATGAGAGACACCTGGACGTCACCGCGGTCGACGACGACGACGAGAACGAAAACGACGAGAACGACGAAGGAAAAGGAAAAGACGAAGATAGGACACGACGGTGGCACCGCCTATCTCGTCTTGTATAGTGAGAATATAGAAGGCGGGCTGCGGCAACACCAGGCAGACAAACTCACCTGTGCAACTGCGAGCGGCTATGCAACATTGAAGGCGAAGCGCCCACATGAGGCGAGCGCCAACTAAGAAGTTACCAAAAACCTTGAGCAACAAAATCAACCAGTACAAAACGAACATGACGCATCACACGGTACTCCACATACGGAAGCTCATACGGGAAAAACAAACGGGAGACCATACCATACGGGAGACCATCCAGTCACCGTTTCCAAGGCCGGCAGCGGCCCCCTCTGGCCCCTATTCACGAGGCAAGCACGGAGCCCTCCCAGGCAGCCATGGAGCCGAGGCGGGCCCGGCGGGGCGCGTGCGCGCCGACGCCATGGGTCGGCGGCGCGCCGAGGGGGACAGAAGGGGCAAGCCCCCTCAGGAGGCGATGGGGTTTCTCCGAAACCTGATGCCGGGGCCAGCAGCGGCCTCCCATTCTGGCTCTTTTCCACGAGCCACGCACGGAGCCATCCTCCCAGGCAGAGCCATGGAGCCGAGGCGGACCCGGCGGGCCCTGGACGGGCGTGAACACTGGGGCCCCAGGGGCGCGCGTGCCGACGCCCTGGGCCAGCGGCGCGCCGAGGGTGAAATCGGGCATGTTCCTCTACAGGTTCAATAATCCGAAATAGTACAACAAAAAGGTTCGGAGACAAGTTGTCGGTTATTTGTGGATTCGTGGATTCGGTTTGAATGTGTTTCGACAGTCCTATATTTGTTCCTCCAAAACCCGTTTGTAGGAAGACATTCCAAAATCCGCATGTAGGAGGACATGCGCGACCTAAGCGGAGGGGGGAGTGACAGGCTTGCTCAGGAGCCACAAAAGCGTCCTCCATTCGGCGGCAACGATGGGGGCGAATAGCCAGGGGGGCAATACGTGCATCAAGAGGCGCCAATGATCCATGCGATCGGCGAGGTTCCCGGGCGAACGCGTGCAACGCCCACCCCGTCTGACGGGGGTGCCCGAGAAAAATAAGATCCCCGGCAGAAACGTTTCATCCCCGGCAAAACCTTCCAATCCCCAAAGACGTGTCCAGTGTCAGCCGAAGCATCCACCACGCCCCCAGAGCAGATGGGTGAACGCAAGAAAAACGACCCCCGCCCCCCACATGAAGAGCTTTAGACCGATGGGACCGTCAAACGACGCGCGAACTGCAAGCGGAAACCGCTCGACGGCCAGCCAAAGACAACGCCGCGCATTTCAATGCGAACGGCGCGATGCTGCTATGCTTTGTGGCGTTTGAACTTGGCTTTCCCTTGCGCTGGCACGCGGCCAATGCCCGCAATCGTTATGGACATTCGCGCGCTCGTGCCAAGGCAAAAACCACCAATGAGCGCGTCTGTCCTTGGCGGCGCTGACATGAGCCCCAGGCGGCGCCCGGGGCCCGCCCCGCACGGGCGCGCATCGAAAAGCTTAGAACCACCCCAAAACAAAGATGAGGCGCCAGGCGAAAAAAAACTCAATCGAATATCACTTTAAGCTTCTCCGAAGCAGAAACTCTCGCGCGGAAGTGCCCCCAATAGTATATATATACATATATATATATATAAACAGAAAGAAGGCTATAAACCCAGCAAAACTTTAGATTGGACCAGTTGCCTTGAAAGAAACGCTCCCGATCTAAACTTTTCCGTCGGCGGGGTTATGAGGAGGCGACGGAGGCGGGCACGGGGGCCCTCAGCTTGGCCAGCGGCGATGCCGCGCCCGGGGCAGCGCCATCGTCGGCACAAACTTCATGCCGCGGCCGTGGCACGCGCGGTCCTGGGAATGCCGGCGCGGGCGCGGTCGCGCCGAGCGGGCCCAGGACGTCGCCGCGCGCGCGGGCCCCCCCTGCGGCAGCTGGCAATGGTCTCGCCGACAGGGCGCCTGCACTTACGCTCATTCGCCGTAAATGCCAAACGCTGACTTGTAAAATCCGTAGTTGTGGGGGCTGGGGTCGGTTTCCCACTGTTCAGTGGGATAGAATTGCTGTGGTTCGCTTCGTGGGCCTCCCGAGTGGGCGGGCCGGGGCGGGCCTTCTCAGGAGGCGACGGGGCTTCTCCGAATGCCTCTGGCCTTCTGAGAAGCCCTCTGCGGCTTCGGAGGAGGCTCCGAAAGTTTCTCAAAGGCCAGAGGCCTTCTGGGCCTTCTGAGAAGGCCTGCCCCCTCTGCCTTTCCACCTTGGGGGGGGCCTCCGATCCCGCGCTTCGCGCCGTGCGAAGAGCGAGGCGCACTGATCTGGTCGTCGCCGTCGCCATCGTCGTCGTCGACGTCATCGCTTTAGAGGTTCCTGGGCTTCCTGAAGGTTGTCGTTGCCACGGCTGGACGCGGCTCGGAAAACTGTGCAGAAGGAACCCCTGGAGAGGTCCATGAAGATTTTGAGCGGATTTGGGTCCGGGATGGGTTCTGGGGCGATTTTGAGCAGTCATTTGGAGACGCGCCCAAAAAAAGATGTCTTGACGGCCGAAAGACTTTTACTGGCGGGGTGCTTTCGTAGAAGGCCGCCCCCCCTCGCCGCCACCCCGTCGAAGACGAGACGACGCCGACGACGCCGACGAGATGACATAATTACGTATCCAGTGGGTGACGACGACGACGGCGGCGGCGGCTTTCTTGGGCGTCCCCCCCCCCCATGCGCGCGCCGCCGATGGACACCGGAGCCCGTCGGCACTCGCGCGCGCCCATGCAGGGGGGGGCAGGAGCGACGGACCCCGGAGCTGGAGGGGCAGCCGGGCCCACGGCGCGGCTCGCTGGGGGAGGGCATCCGGAGCTTTCTCGCGGGAGAGGGAGGATGGACAGACGGGGTGCTCGTGAGAAGGAGAAGGCCTTCCAGAAGGTGGCGGCACTTCTCGGAAGCCCTCACGCCTCCTGAGAAGTTATCTGTCTCTTCGGACAGGGCTCAGAACAGAAGGCCAGGGAACTTCCGAGCCTTCTGAGAAGGCTTGCCTCTTCTCACTGTTCCCCAGGGTTCGCCGCCGAGCCATCTCTCGGACGTCCATTCCAAGTGCATGTTTCGGTTTCGTGCGTTATACTTTGTTCGCAAGATGGTACAAGATGCTCCTCGATGGTCCTCGCCGAAACAAGAAATGCACACGTCCGAGCGAAGCCAAGGGTGAGAAGGATGGAGGCCATGTCACACAGCAATCAGGCCTGGCCCATGACACGAATTGGGGGCAGATTGGTATCATCGCATGTACTGCCATAGTTTCTAGGCTCGAGGCTGGAGCACATGCAACAGCCCATTTCGACTTTCCCAGAGCCGTTGATATTTCAAGTTTGTTGCAGTTGATACCGCATAGCCACAGGAAAAGGATGAGGACCAGCGTAAACCAAAGACGCACCAAAGATGTTGCAATGATGCCTCCCTCCCAGCGCCCGATTGACGGGTCCCTACAAGAAGTTCTGTTCATAGCGAGAAGTGGCCCATTAGAAGACAGACTTCTGAGATCCCCCAATCGTGCCAAAACAAAAATTCTAGGACTTGGACAGCGCGGAACTACATGACGATTGCGTCCTGATAACCCTGAATCGTGACAGAACATAAGTGGTGGGACACCAACACCGCGAATCAGCGTAACTGGTGCGTCCTGGCAGCTGTAATCGTGCCTGCACACCATTTGTCGGACTTCAACCACGCGAACCCTTGAAACTGCTCCGAACCTTCAGGACGAATGTGCGCGGCGATAAGGCGAAAGCCACATCTTGAAAAGGAACTGCTGCAAACGTTAAGACAAATGCGCGCGACGCTAAGGCCAGAGCCACTGCGGAAATCCAACCGCCATTCATCTTCGACACTATTGCACGCATGTACCAGGAATGTGTTTGACGCTACAGCGAGAGGCACTTCTTGGAAACGATTTGTCCTGCACCCTTGCAGCTAGTCACACATGTACGACACAAATGACCGTCACCAAGAAGAGAACGATAGTTTGAAAACGACCTGCCTTCCATCCGTGAAGCTGTTGCAAATGCCAATCTTCAGGATGATGAATGGTGAGGAAGTCTCAGGGGGCGCGGCAAGTGAGCGCTATGCACGAGGAAAAAAGATGGAGGAGAAAAAGAAGGGGGTGCGGTCTGAGTCAGTGGCTGCGGCCCGCAGACTACAGAGGACCAGCACAACGATCGCCGATGATAAGCTACGGACGCGCCCCGCCATTAGCATTAGGGACTGGAATCCTGGCAGAGGAGACGATTCGAGGAGGAGGAGCAGAGGCAGCAGCAGGAGCAGTAGGAGCAGCAGGAGCAGCAGAAAGAGAGAAAGAGAGAGAGAGAGAGATATAAAACAAAAAAAAGAGAAAGCAGCAGCAGCAGGAGTAATTACAGTGGAGGCCCATGCCAAGAAACACCCTCCTTGCCTCCAGGGTGCCCTGGGTCTAGGTTT